AGGGGTAGCCGAGTGAGGGATTCCTTCAGCTGCTCGAACGCACGATCGGCCTCATCACCCCATTGGAAACGGTGGCCTTTGCGCAGGATCCTAAAGAACGGGTAGCTGGTATCAGCCGCCCGCGAGATGAAGCGGCTTAGCGCTGTGATTCTACCAGCTAACGTCTGTACTTCTTTTATATTTCTTGGGGGCCGCATTTCCATTATGGCCCGTACTTTTTCTGGATTAGCTTCCACTCCTTGCTTTGTTACCATGTATCCTAAAAATTTTCCCGTTTCTACGCCGAATGCGCACTTGGTAGGGTTGAGCTTCATTCCGTACTTTCGTAGCGTCGTGAATGTTTCCCGCAGGTCGTCGATATGCTCGTTGGTCTCCTTGCTTTTGACCAGCATGTCATCCACATATACTTCCATGTTTCGCCCTAGCTGTGCTCGGAACATGGTGTCCACCAATCTCTGGTATGTTGCGCCCGCGTTGTTCAACCCAAATGGCATTACGACATAGCAGTACGTTCCTGTAGAGGTTACAAAGCTTACCTTGGGCTGGTCCTCCTCGCCCAGGCGAATCTGATGGTACCCTTGTGAGGCGTCCATCATGCTCAACATCGCGCACCCCGCGGTTGAGTCCACGAGCTGGTCAATCCTTGGTAAGGGGTAGTGGTCCTTTGGGCAGGCTTGGTTTAGGTCACGGAAGTCTATGCACATCCTCCATCTTCCGTCCGCCTTTCTCACCAGTACAGCGTTTGACAGCCAGGTCGGGAACCGGACTTCTTTGATATGCCCGGCCTCGAGTAACTTTTTTACTTCCTCCCCAATGATTCTATCCTTCTCCGCTCCGAAGTGTCTTCTCTTCTGCTTTACGGGGCAAGCATCGGGCTTTACGTTTAGCCTGTGGATGGCTATGGTAGGGTCTATCCCGATCAAGTCTCTAGGAGACCAAGCGAACACGTCCTGGTGGTCTCGCAGGAATGATATCAGCCTCTCAGCCGTTTCGCTGTCCATCCTTGTCCCTATTTTGGTGACCCGGGTAGGGTCGCTCTCGCTTAGATGAACCACTCGTAATTCCTCCATTGGTTGGATGTGACCCTCCCTTTCTTCATCCGAGTCCTCGCGAGGCCTCTTCTCCTTGGTCTTATCCGCATCATTGCCCTCGGGCTGCGCCGAGCGTCCTCCCCATCCGACGGGATTGATGCGCCTTTGCCCCTTCAGCGCTTGGTTGTAGCATCGCCTTGATGTTTCTTGGTCCCCCCGTACTTCGCCCACCCGATCTAAGACTGGGAATTTCATCTTCATATGGAAAGTGGATACAACGGCCTCGAACGAGTTCATTGAGGGTCGCCCCATTATCATATTATATGTCGATGGCGCGTCTATGATCAGGAACCTGACGGCTCGGGTGGCGCGTAGGGGCTCAGTCCCCAGGGATACGGGCAGTGTTACCTCTCCCATGGGTTGCACCACCTCTCCTGCAAAACCGATGAGCGCCGTGTCCACCCTTCGGACTTCGAAGTTTAGCCTCATTTGCCTGAAACACTCGTAGTAAATGATGTCCGCTGAGCTGCCTGTATCCACTAGTATTCTGGCCACATCATAATTGGCTACCGTGGCGGTGATGACCAGCGCGTCATTATGGGGCTGCTGTATTCCCGTTTCGTCCTGTACTCCGAACGTGATGGGGGGGGCTACTGAGACGCGGTACATCATGGCGAGCTCTCCCCTTAGTTCCTGTAGCTCCCTTAAGTGCGCTCGTCGAGATCTGTTCGAATCCCCGCCGATCGGGCCCCCAAAGATCGTATGGATGTAATTATTCGGGGGTTGGGCTTCGGTGGTTCCGCGAGTACTGCCTGTTGCTCGGCTGGACCCCTCCCCTTTTTTGGCATGTTTCGTCCCGCTGGGACCGCCACCAACGAACTCCGATAGATTCTTGGTTCTGATCAGCCTCTCGATCTCGTCTCTCAGGTGCTGGCACTCATCGGTAGAATGGCCATGCTCGTTGTGGAACTTGCAATATGGTCCTGCATTGGCGGACTTTCTTGGCACCTCTGCATATGTTCGGGGCCATTTGAGCTTGGGGTGGTTGGCAATGGCGACCAATATTTCCGAGGGGGCCGAAGAGAGGGGCGCGTAATTTTCGAAGCGAGGGCCCACCCGTCTGTCCATGCCCGGCTCTCGCCTAGGGGTAGGTTCCTGCTTCCTCATTTCCTCGCGGGGCCTTTCCCTCCGCCTTTCTGCCGGTTGCGTGCTTTCCATGGTTCTGCTCCTTCGAGCTTCCTCTGCGTTTATGTATTTTTCCGCCCTTCTGAGCAGGTCGTTAAAGGATACGGGGGCCTTTTTGGAGAGGGAGTCGAAGAATTCTCCCATGCGCAATCCTTGTGCTAACGCGTTGATGAGTACTTCCTCGCTGGTAGCAGGGACCTCCAAAGTCGCCGTGTTGAACCTTTGTACGTAGCTCCTTAGGGGTTCGTTCTCCTTCTGTCGTACTGCGAATAAGGTGAGGGTGCTTCTTTTTTGCTTTTTCGAGCTGGCGAAGTGGTTTAGGAATACTTCACTGAATTGCGCGAAACTGTGTACAGAGCAGCGCGGGAGCTGGCTGAACCACCTCTGAGCTGGACCCGCCAACGTGGTTGCGAATACCCGGCATTTTACGCCGTCAGTCAGTCGATGGAGGGAGGCCGAGGTAATGAATCTTGATAGGTGTTCCCAGGGGTCCGTGGTCCCGGTATATTCGTATGTGACATGCTTGAAAGTTGCGGGTAACTCGCCATGCTGCAGCCTTTCTATGAACGGCGTTCCTGTCATCCCTTCATCATCCTCCGGAGGGACATCCTCGCACTCATCGGCCTGCCGTCTGGCCTCCTCGTCGTCCGCCGTTTTTCTTTTAGCGGTTACGTCCCCTGCTTTCCCCGGGGATGACGGCCCCCTTGCTGCCGCCGCGATCAGAGACTTCAGATTTTCCAAGCTGAGCGTTATGGTAGAACTACCATCTCCGAGGAGCGAACTTCCAGCACCAGGAGTCTGTTCCTCCCTCGGTGTGCTCAAGGGAGGCTCATTCCTGGCGACTTGTGACGGGGGAGTCGATTCTTCGTCCAGCTGCCCCGACAGGTTTCGGACCACCTCCACAGGCGTGGTCATTGATAACACCTAGCAACGCTGGACGACGGAGGGCTAACTTGGTTTTACTTGTGATCGTTTGTTTCCCACAGACGGCGCCAATTGATCCGTCAGAAAACAGTTGAGCTGGATGTTCCCGCCTTTTCCGTTACCTGTAAAAGAAAAGCCGGACTGATGCCGGAGTTAGCACTCCGACGATCAAGTCAGTAACGGTTTAATCACTGTTTTTCATGAGGATTACGTATGTTTTTATGTATATGAAGGAGTAAAAAGAAATCTGCCCTTTTGGGGCGGGCATGTTCCCCTTTTATACATGCCCTCTGGTCCAGTACCCACTGACCCGGGAATTCAGATGGGACATTAGCGGCAGCCACCCTTCTATCCGGGCCGCCCGGACGGCCGGCGTCATGATGATCCCTCCAGTAGGTCTGACTGAGGCGTTTGGGCATCAGCCGCTTGGCCGCTCCTGGTCATTTCGTCATTTAATGCGGTTGTCAGGGCATTAAATGCGCCGCTCCTCATTTATGACCTCTCCGACCTGTAAGGTCCTCTCGCGGGGTCGAGGCGTCTTTCCGTCACCCCTTGGTGCAGGTGGGCCAGACAGACTTTCCGGGTCATTCATAACCTTGGGCCTGATTCTTTGGGTGGGCCGTATTAGCTGGGCCCATCTATCCTTAATGGTCTTTTGACTTGGGCCTTATCGAGTAATTCCGGTCCGGATCAATAAGGGTGTTTGAAATTGAATCGACATCGACAAAACTAAAAAATGATAGTAGACGAACACATAGAGGTTATGGGTCTCTAGGCCAGCGCCTCCGATTTTTTTCGGGTATTCTAGCGTAACACAAAATAATTGGTAAGTAATTGTAGAATTTAATTGAAATAGCATCAATTCAAATACAATAAGCCAACAATGAACATATTTTTCTTTAAATTATATTTTTTTTGTTGGATTTTGAATGTTTAATTAATTATTAAGTGTGCTTGATGGAACTCATAATATATACATACTAATATAACATAATAAAAAAAGAGAACCGACTCCACCACTACATACTGGTGGCAATGTAGTGTTATTTTGCTGTTGCACCAATGCACAACGAGAGTTTCATGATTTTTCTTAATAGTGAGGCTAATTATATAAATTGTGTAAATATAAAATAATACTTAATAAGATTTCAAATTGATCTCTCTATAATCTTAAATATTAAAAGAATTCCTAAAATATTTTTTCCATATATGTATAAAATTTTATTTTCAAATTCAACTCTACATATCGGTGCTCTAATGCATTTGTTTGGGCCCTTGCAGATTTGGATCCGGGCCCACTTGTTTAAGGTTGTACCTTTTATTTTTAGTTTTTAATATACAGAGAGTGGGACCCTACCCAATAAAAAAACTAAAAATAAATATTGAATTAAAAAGCGCGCCAAAAGAGCCCACGGCGAGGATCGAACTCGCGGCCTTTCGCTTACGAAGCGAACGCAATACCACTATGCTACGGAGGCGTTAACGAACGGCGTTTTCAACAATAGCTAAATTAATCTAAGCATAAAAAAAGAAAAACAAAAAAAAAATATTGAATTATAAAGCGCGCCAAAAAAGCCCCCGGCGAGGATCGAACTCGCGGCCTTTCGCTTACGAAGCGAACGCAATACCACTATGCTACGGAGGCATTAAACGACGGCGTTTCTCAATATTTAAATAGCCCCCGGCGAGGATCGAACTCGCGACCTTTCGCTTACGAAGCGAACGCACTACCACTATGCTACGTAGGCTATTTGATGCTACTAAATTCTAGATAATTATATTTAAATGTTAATTACATGGTTAGAGAGAGAAACTGCAGAAGAAGAGAGAGAGAGTACTTCAGACAAGAACAGAAGAAGGGTTTGGGAATTGGGAACGCGGAGAAGATGTGTGGTATATCACTAATTCTATCTGGAATTAAAATTGATTTATCTTTCTTGCTTCCAAATCACACTACACCATCTCCTGAATTTCCGCAGCCGGTAATTTTTTTTTTTCCGATTTAATTCCTGTATTTTGTTCTTTTGTTGTGTAATGATTTCAGTTTTCAAGTTTTAATCAAAAAAAAAAAAAATCCAGTTTTTATTTTCAGAGGAGGAGATCACGGCGGCGCTGCGGCGGAGGGGCCCCGACAGCTTAGGAGCTAAAACTGTTAATCTTTATTTTAATAATAATAATAATAATTTATTCGATGAACCACAAAGCTGCGTTGTGAAATCTTTTAGTGATGAAGAAGGTGCAGTGGAAAATGGCTGTGGGAATCGATTGTACGGGGAATTGCGTTTTATCGGTGCAACATTGCAACTTAGAGGGGTGAACCCGGTTATTCAACCCTTGACCGATTCGTACCACAATGTTCTCGTTTATAATGGTATAGCTACGGTTTTTCTAGTCGATATTTCGGTGCTTTTTTACTTTTTTCGAGATTTTTAGAGTATGTTTGAATTGGTTTTTTGGCAATGCGAGCTGTGACTTCTTGTTGTAGGACATCGTTGTATTATTCTAGAATAAAATATCCGTTCATGCTATCGTATATGAATACAAATACGATGATTCTGATTGGTTAAGGAATCGTGACAAAAATAAACCCGACATATATGCTCGTTTACCTTAATTTCCGTTATATTTTCCTATATGTATCATGGTTTTTTGTGGGGTTCGATTTGTTCACGATATCCATAGTATTCTTGAATCAGCACTTATCGGATTCTTGAATTCGGCGTATTTTATATTCTTTGTATCAAATTATACGCAGCAAATGATTCATGTTGTTTAATGTGATATAATAATTAGGTGAAATATTTGGAGGGGTTCATTTGAGCAGTGACAGCAACGACACGGAGATTCTTATGCAGTCTCTGGCAAATTGCTGCTCGTGTACATCACACGAAGGTCGTTGTAGATCTTCGACCTGTTCTGAAGGAAGCCGAGAATCCGTTCCAGAACTTCTTTCAAGAATCAGAGGGCCGTGGGCTTTGATCTACTGGCAGGTAACTTTACGTGGTAAGTTTCGTCTAATAGTTTATAAAATTGCTGATAATAATAAAGGGTTTGCCATTTATATACTAAGCTGCTTCGTCGGCTCGCGTTTTTTTTTATGAATGTAGGATAGTTCGAAAACATTGTGGTTTGGTCGAGATGCGTTTGGAAGGCGAAGTCTTCTAGTTCATTGGCCAACACACAATGATTCTCGGCTGTTGCTTTCTTCTGTGTCACCGCTATCTTCTAATCAACAGCATTATGGTAATGGCCTACATTCGTTTGCTTTTTTTTTTTTCTAAAAAAAATTATTATTAGGGTAAATTACGGCCACCCCTGAGGTTTGGTCAAATTACGAAAACACCCCTCATGTTTAGGGTAATTACAACCACCCCTCAATTATGAATCTTCTTACATGTCCATATTTATCGTGTCAAATTTAGTGGAATCTTGTCGGTTATGTAGAATATTCTCCAGTTTGTACCCGTTTTCACATTTTGAAACAAGATGATCGTAAGATGTGTCTCTTGGCTTGTGAATATCAGATTGTGGTGCATATGAAAATGACTTTTGCTCAAAACAAGTACAAACTAGAGAACATTCCACGGAATGTAGAAGACCGTTGAATTTGTCACCATAAGGGTAGACGGGTAAGAAGATTCATAGTTGAGGGGTGGTTGTAATCACCCAAACAGGAGGGTTTTTTTTCTTCGTAATTTGACCTTACCTCATGGGGTTGGTCGTAATTTTCCCTCACTATCATTTAAGGAACAACATCCTACTGACTTGTTTGGATCCGTAAACAGATATTGACGATGAGAAAGCGAAAGTTGAATTGAATTTCTGGGAAGAGCTGGCATGTGGTGTATATAGCATCTCCGTTTCTCCTTTAGAAACGGATGGACATTTGATCGGCAAAGTTAAGAAACACGGGTGGACTGATACCGAACTTAAAGAACTGACAAAATGGAAGAGAACTACCGTCGAACCTAAACCCGAGAATTTAAGTCTGGATTTCAAGAAAGCTCTTACCATTGAACAAGGCATGCTCTCAGATTTTCCATCCGACTTTCGTCTGTAATTATGTGTACCCGATCTTTGGGTTTCTTTTATTAAGTATACAAGGATGTAAATTCATTCTTCGTTTTTTCTCGTTCATTAATGATCCAGGTATCGTGCAAAGTACGCCTTTAGCAACATCTCATAAAGTATTGAAAGCATTGAAAGAATCTGTAAAACGACGAACCACTTTGAACAGAATCTACCAGGTTTTGCTGGGAAATCATAAACGGGAAAAATCTGCTCCGATAGCGGTGCTTTTTTCTGGTGGTTTAGATTCTATGATTATTGCTGCATTATTGCATCAGTGCGTCGATTCCGAATGTAAGTACTTTATTACTAATATGCCGGCATTAGTTGTTGTCGTCGAGACGTTGTTCGATTCTGAAAAACTGTTATTTCAGATGAAATCGATCTGCTCAATATCAGCTTCGACGGCGAGTCGGCTCCCGATAGAATAACTGCAAGGGCCGGACTGAATGAACTTCGGAAAATTGCATCCTCTAGGAGGTATGCCGATTAAGTTTAAAACGGTGACTTGTTATTTCCGTTTAGCAGGGTTAAATTTGTCTTGAGAAACCCGAACTACCAATTTATCGGTACATTCTTGGGTTGTAAAATTTACAGATGGAACCTTATAGAAATTGACGCGTACTTAACGAAGTTGACCTCCGAGACGCAGCATGTGATGTCACTTATAAATCCCGCTAAAACCTACATGGTATAATTCTTTCGCGCCTAAATCGTAACGAATTATTTGTCTAGAACAATTATTTATATTCATTTGTATAATTTTTTTTTTTTTTGCAGGACCTAAATATAGGCATAGCATTATGGCTAGCTGCTCGAGGAGACGGTTGGCTTTACGAAGGTACACATTGCGAACGAGTCACGTACAAGTCTGAGTCCAGGATTCTTCTAGTGGGTTCCGGTGCAGACGAACAATGTGCTGGATATGGTCGGCATAAGACAAAGTTTCGAAATAAAAGGTGATCTTTTATTCGATATTTTTATTTCTTTTAAATATATTTTATTTTATTATGACGTATATATGTGACGGTTATGTACCAGCTGGCTTGGGCTCGACGAGGAAATGAAATTAGACATGCAAAGAATTTGGAAGAGGAATTTAGGAAGAGACGATAGAATCATAGCTGACAACGGGAAGGAGGTGCTGAAAAATAAATTTAAATACTTGCAATTTTAATTATTTTAATGTTTACACGTTTGATTATTTTGTTTTCGTCAGGCAAGATTCCCGTTTTTGGACGAAGATGTCATAAAGACTTTGCTCGATATTCCTTTGTGGGAGATTGCGGATCTTGACCAACCAAGTGGTGTTGGCGACAAGAAAATCCTGAGGGAGGTATATATAGTTGCTGAGTGTCTTTTATTTATCGAACTTTTATTTCCAGTTAAAAAAAAAAAAGTGGTAAGAAAAACGAATGTTTTGACGCTTACAGGTTGCACGATTACTTGGTCTGAACGAAGCAGCTATTCTGCCTAAAAGGGCGATTCAGGTGTTCTTTTTTTCTTTTTAAACTCTTTAATTTCGGTAATGTATTTAAATTTATTTTTCTTACTATATGCTGCGTGCGTCGCTTTCTCAGTTTGGATCTAGAATAGCAAGAGAATCGAACAGGAAAAATTTCGGAAGTAATCGAGCAGCAAACCAAGCGTCTGCAGGAAGTGTGGTTATATATGGATCATCAGACTAAACAAAAACATTGTCTGAAAAAAGTTAAAACTGCTTCTATCCCCCGTTTTTTACGATTACTTTTTTTTTTATTTTTTGTTAAACTTTGGATACATTAACAGATAGGATCATTTATTTCGATTTTCGATTTTCGATTTGTTCTATAGTCAGTCAGTCAATGGTGGTTGTAATGAATGTTGACATTTTCTCAGTGTGGGGAAGTTTCATTAATCATTGTATTTGGTCTGATTTTGAACATTTTTTTTTTATATTATTTATATTTATTTTTTAGAGAAACATGTATACCTGGGCACTATTATAATAGTCTATGGATACTTTTCTTTCTTTCATCAAAGTAGATTTTTCATTTTTGTCAGTCTTCATTTTTATTTATTTATTTATTTTTATTTGGTACATCAAATTGACAGCCGTCGAGAAGGAAATAAGTAGTTTCAGTTATATATATTGAATAAAATAATTAATTTTGTTATATTATATAGTCCATTCTTACCATTTTATTTGTTTTTCTAGAGAATTTTTTTTATTTCAAATTAATTGTCACTTTTGATTTTCAATGCAACAATTATTGTATTTTTCTCATATTTGCTCTTAATACTATTAATAAAATTAGGTCAAAATAATTAATGAAAATGGATTTTTAGTCATTTTATTATGATTTTTCTATAATTCATGCATATCTATTAATTTATTTTTAATATGTGGGCATCAGCTCAAAATGACAAATAAAACGGCGAGGGAGTATATTATTTTGTCCTCCCACCCCGGAAAATTGAAACTAATAGCTTTTTCCCAGTGTTTTGAAACCCGGACCGGCCAGTTGAACCGCGAACCATTGCCTAGTTCGGTTCGGAACCCAAGTGAAAATTGAATTTTTTTTTTGGCCAAAAATTGTGTTTTTTTTAAAGAAAGAAATAAAATGGCTAAGACATCTTTTTACTGCCGAATTGAAAAAAAAAATTAAATCAAAATAAAAAAAGTTCAAATTGAAAGACATATATTATTATAGATTATCCGGTCCAGTCCGATTCTCAAAACATTAATTTTACGCATCAATACCGCACGTGCGGAATGGTTGCGAAATTTCATTCCACGTGCCAAGATGACATAAGTGTGTGGGGCTCTTCATTTATTCAACATCAACCTACAAAATTAAAAAAAAAATCAATTCCCCATTTCTTCAACAATCACCTAATTCCAAAACTCAATATTATGGCCCTATTTAAAATTCTATCTGCAAACCAATTCCACACACACACACACGCACAAATTTGACCGTTATAAATACCTACAAAACACACACACACACACACCACATTTCACTTTGAAAATAATAATAATCTCAAGAAAACTAAAAAAAAAAAAAATCATGGGAAATTCACTTGCATGCTTCTCTCCAATAACAAGAACATCTAACAAAGCAGAAGCAGCGGCGGCAGAATCTAATTCACCACCACCACCAGCAAAGGAGATTCTTCCGCCGTGGCTATCACCCTCAGCCGCACTAAGAAAATCAAGAAAATTACTATATTCTCCCTCGTCGAAAAAATCATACTCATCAAGGGAGGAGGAGCATCAGCTGGTATACGATGATTCGTACATAAAGCAACAAGCGCAGATAGCGTCGATGCTGTATCAGCACCACTTGATGCAGAACAACGGTGGTGATCTTCTTCTTAACCTGGACCGCTCCGTATCCAGCAAAAACCCTACTGGTGGGCCCAAGAAGTTATCCAGGCGATCTCGCTCTCTCTCTTCTTCCACTGCTTCTCTCTCTTCCTTGCACCTCCCTAATCAGGTATATAATATTCAACGTTTTCTTTTTTTTCTTTTTTTATTTCTTTATTATGGGTTTTACAAAAAAAAAAATCTTTTTTTTTTTGTTTGCTAGACTCTTTTGAATGAAGTTTTACTATTAGGCAGGGCGTAATAGACTAATTAATTGCAATAAAATTTGGTTGACTTTCAAAAAAAAAAATTTGATTTCTCATCGTAGTTGTGAATCAAATTCTAGCTAAATCTCTGTAAATTAATACCGTCGAAACTAATAAAATTCTATTAATTTAACGAAATATTAAATTATCGAACTAATAATTTAACACACTTTCACCGAATCAGAACGAAAGAAATTATTATTTAAGCAAAATTATTAATTTATCGAGTATTAATATATAGAGGTTCTACCGTAATATGACTTTCAATTTCTCTAGGTATTTTGCGGGAGCTATTATATTTAAATGTCATTATGTAGTGGCCCGATAGTTATTCAAGAGTTTTAATTTTAGTTATTACAATCGCTCCCGCATAAATAAGCATTCTGTACCAAAAAAAATCTAAATCAAAAATATTTTCGCAACAAATATGATTTTTTTTTTTGTTTTGTTTTTATGATCAGACTTCCAAAACTACAATGTGATTAATACAAATTTATTTTTATTTTTGTTCTAATACTAGGATGTAATAACAAGAAGTGATGATTGCAAGCATTTTGTGCTGGTTCATGGTGGAGGATTTGGTGCATGGTGTTGGTACAAAATAATAGCACTCTTGAAAGAAAGCAAATTTGAAGTTGATGCATTAGATCTAAGTGGCTCTGGTTCTAATTTTTGTGACACAAATTCCATCACAAGTTTATCACAATATTCAGCCCCTCTAACTCAATTTCTAGCAAATCTTGACAAGGGCAAAAAGGTAATTTTGGTAGGGCATGATATTGGTGGAGCTTGCATTTCCTATGCAATGGAGATGTTTCCATCCAAAGTTTCTATGGCCATTTTTGTTGCTGCCACTATGCTCACTAATGACCAAAGTGCCCTTGATGTCTTCTCTCAGCAGGTCTGCACGATACTCTCTCTCTCTCCGTTTTAAAATAACTATCGTTTAAGGTTTCAATCGTTTAAGGTTTCAGCACAACTAACTAAATATCAAATATGTATAGGACTATAGTTTATTTACTCTCTCAACTTGTGCCTGCATTTATGTGATAGAATTTAGGAGTAACGAGGGCAAAATTGGTAGAAAAAAAAAGTAACTAACACAAAATTGGTATAATTAGGTGATAAATTATTAAAAGAAAAAAAAGGGCAAATTACAAGAAACGCCTAATTCTAAAAAAAAAACCATCCATGTATGCATAATTACGAGCACCCCTCTGAAACTAATGGGCTGCAAAAAAAAAACCTAACATGAAGTACTAATTGTCTAAAATACATGTGCACATTAAAATAATTAAATGATAGAGGAAGAAAGGTTCATAAATTCAATTTTCTGATTTTTTTTTTTACATTTGGCCCCTCATGCAATATAAACCATTAACACATAACCCCTTTTGACACAATTACGATTAGTTACCGGTGAAAAAAAGTTAAAATCCTTTTTGACAATTATTTTACAAATCTTACAATTAGAGCCTTAAGGGTATTCTGATAATTACAAAATGAATATTCCACGGAATCTATCTGATTATTTATTTATTTATTTGTATGCAGGCATGCTTAAGTGACATAAACCAACGTGCTCAGAAATTTGTGTATGCAAATGGGAAGAATCATCAGCCAACTGCTATAGATTTCGACAAGTCCCTCTTGGAAGACTTCTTGTTCAACAGAACCCCTTCAAAGGTAAATTATTTGCAAAAAAGCCCCCTGCACATTTAAACTCTTACAAATAAGGACAAACTATTTATATATATATATTTATCCATGATCAGGACATTGCACTAGCATCAGTATCAATGAGGCCTGTGCCTTTTGGACCAGTGACAGAGAAGCTATCACTCTCTGCGGCAAAGTACGGTTCCATCTCGAGATTCTACGTAAAAACCGATGACGATTTTGCCCTTCCCCGGCCCCTTCAAGAATCCATGATACAATCAAGTCCACCTCAGCAAGTGTTTGAAATCAGAGGCTCCGATCATTCCCCGTTTCTATCAAAGCCTCAAACACTTCACAGAATTCTAACAGAAATATCAAACATCCCACACAAGTAAACTCGATTCGGAAACTTTCGAGGGGCAGATTTGTAATTTTAAGAAGTAGAGGGGAGGAATGTGTAATTATTTTCAAAAATAAACTCGATTCGAGCTAGAGTTTGGTTTTGTTACTACATTAGGATGTAACTATTCATTAGTAAAAGAACATACGAAAACATGTTATTATTGCCAAGTAAAGATTTTATTGAAACGACGTGTTCGTCCGATTATAAAGAAGAACAAAACAAGAAACCAAAAACATTATGGTACCCTCGAAAACAAAATTCGCAACATTAAACACACCAAAAAAACAGGGAATCTTGAAATCGAAAAGAAAAAAAAAATCCATGTGGAAAAGGAAGTGAAAATTGAAATAAAGATAGTTAAGACGAGAGAATTCAATTCTTCCTCAAAATTCCGAGCCTTTTACGGAAATCTTCCTCCATAAGTGGAATGCCTTGTTGCAATTTGACCTTTGGTTCCCATCCTAGCAATTCTTTTGCCTTTGTTATGTCCGGTTTTCGCTGACGTGGATCGTCCGGAGTGTTCTCCACGCTTATGATTTTCACTTCTGGATTTATCATCTGATTTATAAAAAATAAAAATAAAATTTAATAAAAATAATTACACAAATTTAAGGCATGAATTGAATATCGAAAAAAGATTGATTTTTTTTTTTTAACCTCCTTGACAGTTTCTGCAAGCTCAGACATGGTGAATTCGCCTGGATTGCCGATGTTGATTGGGCCTGTGTTATCGCCCTCCATCAATCGCATAAGACCATCGACCTTCAATAAAAGCAAATTAAATCGAGGTTAATTAGAAAATGAATTATTATTATTATTCACTTGTAATTGCATCAGCCGAAATGAAACGAGGATATTGTTACATTTTACGTACCATATCAGAAACGTAACAAAAGCTCCTTGTTTGTGTTCCAGGCAACTGAACTGTCAAAGGCTCGTCTCTGCATATAGTGACGCATTCAAGGAAGCAAGCGAATGAGAGAGAGAGAAAGCGAGAGAGAGAGAGAGACAGAGAGAGAGAGAGAGAGAGAGAGAGAGAGAGAGAGAGAGAGAGAGAGAGAGAGAGAGAGAGAGAGAGAGAGAGAATTGGGGAAGCAGGACAAGCAAGATGGTATATCCGATCGACTTCAACTAATAAAGGCTCTGTCACATCTGCAATTGAAAAAAAATAAGGCTAAATTAATAAACACATTTGTCGTTTAAAAAATAAAATCGAAACAAGCCGACTTATTATTACCATGTCGAATAAGTTCGAATCGTGGATGACCAATCCACTGCTTTAGGTTCTCTTTCGAGCCAGTAAAGTAGTTATCCGCTACAATCACCTGTATTAAAAATAAAAAAGATCCGATTTTTATTTTTAATTTGCATAAACATATTAAAGAACCGTATAAAATTAACAGTCAATTTACAAAGGGCTCACTTCATTTTTCTCGTTTTCCATCAGCTTGTCGACCAAGTGAGAGCCGATGAATCCAGCTCCACCAGTAACAAGAATTCTCATGTTTGCCTGTAATCAAGTTCGATCAATATTCAAAAAAAATTAATCTTTTTATACGTTCCCTAATATTTTATCGAAAAATAAGATCAGAAAATTAACATGCTGTCCTTTTATGCACAATCTATACTATACCTGAAAAAATTTCGCTCGCCTCAACGGTGAAGGCTCGGGAGGCGGCTTGGTGGTGACGTGGCTCCCTCCATTCGACCCTTCGTTAGCCATTATAAGATCCCTTTTTCTTCGATTTCTGAATCAAGACCAAATAAAATCAAAATATTAAACAACTACCAAATCCGCATACGAAACAACAACCACAGAAAAGGGGACGAAAGGAACCGGGAACAAAATAAACCCGAACAAAACAGAGAAAGAACAAATCTTCCAAGATTTTTAGGTACATTACAAACATTATTTCAATGTAACAGTAACTTCAATAATTCCAATCGGAACTTCGATATTTCGTTTCGGATTAAGTTTATCGTGTTAGGGCCAATTCA